GAGTAGTTTATATATACCAAGCAGTTGTAAGAAGTACTCTTCTCTGTCTCTCTCTCTCTTTCTTGTATAAAGTATAAACATGGGCAATTTACAGAAACTGGCACGCAAGGCATTTAAAACCGAAGCCATTCGTTGAACTTGAAGTCAAAGCGAATTCAATTGTCACGCGAGCAGCAGCAGATGCAGATGCAGATCGAGCATCAGACTGCAGAAAGTGTGCGTGAGTGTTGCTTGTTGTGTCAATTCAGGAGCATCGAATGGGGATATTCCCAAACTACCCGACTCGTAAAAAACATACTCGATTATTACTTTGCGCATAAGAGAAAAACCTGCAAAAAAAAAATTGGACTGATTTCTGCGCAAAACATCGTAAACATTTCATAATTAGTAAGTTCAATTTGAGCATCTAATTTTGACTATAATAAAATATTTCGCAAGCATGTGTGAAATGTAGCTGTCGCACCTCCAAAAAGAAAAAAATAAAAACACCGCATCGTATCGCAGTTTAAATTTATACGGTTCAGTTTTGGGATTTTTCGCCATAGGAAATGTACAAATAATTCATATAAAAATAAATATTGATTGTCAACTTTTGCTGGCATTGTTGTCTTGCATTTGTCGCTGCGACATGCATAAACACATGTCAGAGCCTGGACTTCAGTTTGAACAGACCAGACCTTAAGAACAATATTGTGTTTTAATTTGTCTAATATTTGTTGTTGTAGCTTATCTCAATATTTGCTTGAATCAAAATCAAGCATGTACATAAAATGATAATAAAGTTAGTTCACATGTGCCTTTTATTTGGCACAAATTTGTTTTCACTTTTATTGGCGTACTTTTAACACCATCAAATCATTTTTGAGGCAATTTTATTTGTCTAAGCTGGCACATTAATAATATTTTTGGACATTTTTTTCGATATCCCTTATCGACAACTAGGTGTCAAAGTTAGCATTGGCAACTGTGAAACCAGATGTGCCAATTGCTATTGTAGTTTCTTTACTCGGGCGCCCAGAAGGTAGTCTTTCGCTTAGTCACAGGAAAACTTACGCATGCATATATACTAAATCACCATAAATTATATCATATCAGCTTAGGTTTATCTAAAAATGCATTTGAATGTTGTAACAAATGTGTTGCCAACGCGTATGCGTCTGCGTGATAAGTCTCGTGTTGTTGGTAGGGCTCTGTATTTGTTTGGACATTTGATATAAGAGTTTCGAATGTGCCTCGGGGGCAATTCTTGACTCTACGCTGACTGTAACACATGTAGAGTGTTCTCTTTGTTCTTTGTTGAGTTGCCAACAGAAGACGAACAAAGAAAAGCACAATATGTAAATATTTGGATGCGCAATTCCGTACCGCCCTGTCTATCTGGGATCGACACTACTTCCCTGCAGCTGTCCTGCGTTACCCACCCGGTACACTTGATCTACAGCACATGTGGGGCTCGTCTGTAAGGCGTACATGCGATAAGAGCTGTTGTATTCGATATTCCGCACACTTTTCATACTCCCCAATAGTTTTAAACCCTAAGTCCATTAGCACTTCAACATCTTTTGAACTACTTAAGTGCCTATGCTGCGCTGTTGTGTTGTGCTATCTAATCGCACACTCTTGTTGCTTTGCCTAAAAACATTTATTAATCTGTAATTCCACAATTAAACCATTACCCATGGGCTTTGATTTCGGCTCTCTACTGATAGCGCTGGCAACAGCAAATATTTGCTCTGAATGGCAACAGACGAAGCTGCTGAGAATTCTCGCAGACTCGCGATCATATAAAGGGTTTCATAAATTGGGTAATTAAAGCTGCAACGTTTGATATTTACATATTCTTTGCGTATAATGAGTCTACAGCTTATCGAAGGAGTTTGTGATGTGGGCATTAAAATCATAAAAGTTAGTATTTGTTTTCTGTAATAACAGTAGTGCTTGCGTTGTCCAAATAAGCATTACCTGAAGATGGGTTCTTTATGTGAAACTAGCAGAATTTACCCGGCGTCGCACGGGTCGACAAATAATCCAGCGTAAAATAATGGAAATCGCCTGCAAAATAAACCAAAATTAATCTTACTTAAGTTTTGGGCTTACATTTCTTTTAATATTAATTTAACTGTGATTAAACATATCTAAATAAATAATAATAAAATTTATTCTGCAGTTCAGTCTATCACAGAAAAACACGCTTATAACAGCTTTTATTAATAATATAGAATATCGGAAATTCTAAATGAAGTACACAGCTGTGATATTATGGTCGGCACGGGAAAATAATAAATTGAAAAATGTAATGAAAAGAAAGCTGCTCCTGAAAAACAAAAGCGCATACGTTAAATAATCAAATTTGAGCAGTCATAAATGAATATATATATATGAAAAATTAGCAAGCGATTCCTTAATGCATGAATCAGTTGAATGTTGGCGCCTCAAGTAATTCCCCTACTGTGATATACAAATGTATAAAATGAACTATAATCTTATATACATATATGTCTCTGCAAAGACTGAGCTGCTTATAGAAGTCCAAATTGTGGTTAAGGCGTTGCAAAATCTATCTTATTGTGCTTAAATATAAGCCAGTGTAGTGTGTGCTTTGTAGATGCGTTTAGCACAACTAATTAGCGGGGCAATTTCTTATAGTTAGTGATAGCTGCGTGTCCGCATCACAAGGCCCAAATGAGCATGTAAATCAAATGAAATCGTATCGAATCCGTCGAACGCGTATACGCCGTGTGGCCGCCCGTAAAAGTCAAAAGCCCGATTTGACTCTGACTTTCATGCGCTGCTCGTTTTTTGGCGCCGTCTGACCTGTTTGCGGCACCCCCTCCACCCCGCCAACGCCAATGCCAACTGGGCCAAAACTTGTTTGATCCAACGTTTGGAGTACAGCCCCCGAAATTCGAAAACGATTTGGATGAAAACACTGTCTGTCCCTGGCTTGCCTGTTGATTTGATTTTATTGGACTTGGCGTCGCTGCTCCGACTGCTGCGTCGGCGCCGGCGTCGACGGCAGCGTTCAGCCGAACAGCTGTTTGGCGTTTTTAATAAACAAACTGCGGCATTGGTTGAGTCAGTACGCAAAAGACACTTCGTGGATACACATCGCTAAAGATACTCGTGCGGCACGTTACAAGTGCGCGCTAAACGGGCCGTTCGCCAGAACACAGACCCAAAACATCAGCTGCCGTAAACCAAAACAGAAACTCAGTTTATTTTAAAAAATTTACAAACAAAAGCAGAAAATTGAAATTCCGTTCATTAGCCATCGCATTTGTGAGTGATCGAGCCGTTGAACTGTTTGATATATGTATGCATAAATAAAAAATAGGAAATATATATTTCTATACTAATTGCGGTTGTCGCGAAATAGAACTTGGTTCTGAAAACAACAAATAATATTCGTTTGTGTCTGTTTGAAAATTGTGTATAAATTTTTCGCATATACGCATTTATTCTACGTTATTTTTGTTTCTCTTCGTAAACAAATTTGTTTCTTGTTTTCATGTGCTTAAAGATTCAAACATCTTGAGAATTTCTACATATTCAAAGCTGCAAATCAGGTAATTTAATGATTTTGGCTTGGAATAAGTAAATGATAATATTAAGTAAATGTTAATATATTGTTAAAATTAATTTAACTTCGTTTGAATTTTTTATGCATTCTGATTTTAAAATCACTTGCCAAAATATTCATCTGCGTTTCACTTTTCGGCTTTTAGGACCTTGAACAAATTTTCAGCTGTGCTTAATTTTTGTACGAGTTTTCCTGCAAAAAATAAAAGTACAGCAGATCAGGCAGATCTTGGCAAACGCCTTAAACTGAAACCAGTTGTCAAAATGTAAAAAAATTCAAAGTTGATGTGAGAAATAAAATTAAAATATTTAGACATACATATAAAACACATTGCATATGTTACCTTAGCATTCCAGATCGAGTTAAGCTCAATTCAAATCAACTCAATGCACAACGAGAGTGCTCTGATAAATTATTCTAATATATGTTATTCAAGCGTTCAGAAACAAGGTAAAATGAACTCGACAGCAGAAACACGTGCTTCGACTCAATTAGAAGTATATTACTTTGGACTACTTGACAACCATTGACGAGACTCCAATTATTGCCAGCAATGCTCTAATCAAGGGCGCTGTAAGTTAGTCAGCCAACGGCATTTAGTTGTTGCCAGCCAGCAGCTGCTGCCCGTTAGTCAGCTTCCCCTGAACAATAAATTTGTATCTAAACGTTTGCTAATATGAACACTATGTTACTGATAGGCGCAATAGCTAACTCCATAGTTCCCAGGGCTCGAAAGTGGCCCGATAACAAAAAATCTGGACTCTTACTCAGCGGCTGCCATATGTAGCCCCATTTTAGCTGTGAACTGAGCATTAGCATATTATGTGCGTCTATCATATGAAATCGCCTGATTGCATCTAGATACGTTCCATTTAAGTAAATAATCTGTAAGACTTAACTAGTTAAAATGATAAGTTTCTTATTCAGTCACAACTGTCGCTCAGAGTGTGACAAGCAAATTGTATATATTATTTATTTTGTAGAAAGAGTAAGATAATTATATACATAGGTTAGCTGAAAGTACAATCAAAACAAAAATTTACAGCGACAAAAAAGTTTGCACTTGTTTTGAGAAAGTCGAACGAATTTAGCTCAATCAACTTTCTCTTCAACTAAATATTTGCATTTTTAATTAAAAATTAAAAATGACCGGCTGCCGTTTTATGCCGAAAAATAAGAAATAAATTGGTTTCCTAAGAATAATATGCCTAAAATGTATTTAATTAAATTTGAAATGCTTTAGATATATATATATATATATATATATATAAATTGTTTGTGTCATATCGCTTGCTAATTAAATCTGAATTTATTTACGTATGCAGGCAAAGTTTGTCTGTACAAACATTGGAATATATAAACATGTTACAAGCTATAATATTACCAATAAACATATATGTTTTTTTTTTTGTATTTACAGACAAAACAAATGTGAACCAAATGCATAGATATTTATTTTTTGGATAACAAAACATAACACACAACACACAAAACCAACACAACAGGCACACATACATGCACACGCACAGAACAAATTGTGATACACTACATTAAGAGTCCAACAGCACGTGGAGTGGTCAGGCAACAACAAATAGAAGAACAACACACCTATTCGAGTACAAACCCATCTAATTCGTCATATACAGTCACTCAGTAAAGGCCACAATGGATTTCGATCAAATTCTTGCCAAATGTGGCGACTTCAATCGCTATCAGTTCATGATACTCGCACTCTTTGGCTTCATTAATATTATCGTATCAATGGTGCGTATTCAAAGTCTACCCTTTATTTATAAATATATATATATATACAGCTTATAATTATAATTATCGTATTATTCACTGCAGCATTACTTTACACAAACTGTGATTAGTTTCGTGCCGGATCATTGGTGCTATCATGAAAAGCTGGTTAACATGACGTATAAGGAGATAGCTGACATCTATTCCAAATTCGAGAGTCCCTCGTGCACGCGTCTAGCGGACATCAATGCTGGAAATGTTACGGTCAGCTCTGAGAAGTGCGAACGTTGGATTTATAACTATGACTTTGGCTATAGAAGCATGAACACCGAGGTGAATACGAAATACTGATCTGATAACTGAATCTCTATTCTTTTTAATAGATTTTAAGAGTAGGATTAAGATTAAGATTATATAATATGGAATCAAATTAATTTGATTTGATATTTTACAAGCTTATAAAGTTTAGTTAATTCCCAAATTGAAATTTAGTTTGTTTTAATATATATACAGTAATTAGAAGTTGTTCGATCTAAATAGTTGGTAACAAAATTTTCATAAGGGCGCTCGGTGGTTATGCAAGGGTATTCAAGATTCTCTTATTTTTAAGCTTTATACAAATTTAACCCTTTTTTTATTTTTGTTGCCAATCAATCAACAGCTAAACTGGGTCTGTGACTCAGCGTATAAGGCGCGCATCGGCCAGTCCCTTTTCTTCATTGGATCCGTTGTAGGTACACTATTCTATGGCCTGCTGTCTGATAAAATTGGACGTGTGCCAGCTTTGATATTGTCGAACTTCTGCGGCTTTGCTGGTGATTTTTCAACCATCTTTACTAAGAGCGTGGCAACATTTACGCTATGCCGTTTCATATCGGGCCTGGCGGCCGATACAAACTTTTACCTCATGTATATTATAGGTAAATATAACCCTTATATTGACTACATCAAGTTATGCTTAACGTTTGTTTCCATAGTTCTCGAATACATACGCCCCAGCATGCGCACTCTGGGTCTCAATATGGCTGTGGGTCTGTTCTATTGCCTGGGCCTGGTGTTTACGCCTTGGCTGGCAGTTTTGGCCGGGCACTGGCAGATTTACTTGGCCTGCACATCACTGCCCATATTGCTGGTGGTGCTCTACTATTTTGTGGTGCAGGAGAGCGCACAGTGGCTGGTGACGCGCAATGATATCGATGGGGCCATCATGCGGCTCAAGCGCGTAGCCAGATTCAATGGCTGCCATGTGACGCAGGCGGACTTCGATGAGTTCAGGCGCCACTGTCAAATAACACGCGAGATGCAAGGCGGCGATGACAAGAAGCATGCGACGCTATTGGACATGTTCAGGACACCACGCATGCGCAAGAACACGCTGATTCTCTTCTTCAAGTCGTAAGTTTAAAGGTTTTCTAACAAGCCGACACATTACTTATACGCAGCGTATTACAGAATGGTGATTACACTGTGCTACGACGCCGTGTCGCGTAATGTGGAAGGAATGGGCATCTCGCCCTTCATAATGTTCTCGTTGAGCGCCCTGGCTGTCCTTCCCTCAAGTATTTTACTGGTGCTCCTCCAGGATCGCATTGGACGCAAGGGCATGGCGTCGGGCTCGCTGCTTGTCGGCGGCTTGTTCACGGCTGCCGCTGGCATTGCCATTGCCTATCAGCAGCATAATCACAATGCCATTTTGTTGGCCTGTCTGACGATTGCAGCGCGCTTCGGCGTGGCCATTTCGTACGAATCGGGCTCCCAGTATGCCACAGAACTGATACCCACGTGTGTGCGCGGCCAGGGCGTGGCTGCGGTGCATGTGGCTGGCTTCGCAGCCTCCTTCCTGGCGCCCTATATCCTTTGGCTGGGCACCTTCTTCAAGGCAGCGCCCTCTATTATATTGGGCGTACTTTTCTTTGCTGGCTCCTTTGTATGCCTGCTTTTGCCAGAGACGCTGAACCGGTAAGTGTGCGAATTTGGTGTATAGCTAACAAACTGTTCAACTTTGATTATTTTTGTTCCGACAGGAGTCTACCTACTACAATTGAGGAGGGCGAGGTCTTTGGTAAGGGCGAACGTATGTTCGACTTCCCCTGCCTACAGCATCACGGCGACGACGACTCGGACTCTGAGTTGGAGAAGTACAAACGCAAGCATTCGCTCATTGATGCCAAGCAGCAGATGGAGTCCGGTCAGTATACCAAGCGCAAGCAGTCTCTGATCGATGCCGATCGCGAGGAGCAGAGCCTCAAGGATGCCAAGCATTGAGCCAATCTGTAATGCTAATGACTAGTTTGTAGTTTAGTTAAACAATTTTGTATAGGACCCTAAGTAAGCACTTAAAATACTTAAACTAACAAACAACAAACACAATAGCCCCAGGTAAAAAGTTCTATGACATTGAATCTAGAATCAAACTGTAGCTTGTTCAACGAAAAAATCCAGCAGCTGTTATCCCTTTAAATTATAAATAAATAATTAAAATAGGAAGGAAAAGCGCTAATTCAGCTGTTTAAATACCTCACAATCAACAATTCAAAAATTAAACGTAAAGTTACAATATGTGCGCTCAGCATCTTGACATCTTTTTCGATATATATTCTTTCTATACGTGCACGCTTACATGCTATGCATATATATTATGATATATATATGAACATATATGTAATATTTTAGGCTTGTTTATCTATCTAGATTTGTAAGTAACAATATACAATATAAAAATATATATGTATACAATATATATAACTCATAACTTTACTCAAAAACTAGCCTTTGAAAATATTTTCCAAATGTGTGTAAAATATCAAAACTGGAATCGGAATCGTATAGTTAACATTTAAGCGGCACAATTTCACTTAACTGAATGAATTAAATACGTCAATACATTTGTATGTAATAGTTTTTCTAAGTGTATTACTATTTAGAAAGAGTTGATTTTGATCTGTTGCAATTGCAAATGCAAATGATACTTACAAATATAGAAAAAATGTAAAAATAATAAAATTATCATATGTATACAAATTTATTTGAACTGGTTTATTTATTATTTTTGTGTGTACTACATTAATTGCAATCAATATATGTTGGCCGTATCGAGATTTCTTAAGAAACTGGCCTGTCCAGCAGATCGTTCCAGAGCACTTTTTGATAACGATTAAGGTTCAGATTTCTGAAGATATATAAAATGAGAGATAAATAATTTTCATTTTATACGACTTACGACTTGCCAAATTCCGTAAGTCATCAGGCTCCTTTCGCATCCTTAGCGCAGCCAACATCTTCAACTTGAACATTATCACGCTCGAAAGTGCTGAAATTTTAGTTTCGACTTACCCGCAATTCTTCGCCAGCGTCACCTGAATATGTGCTAAGTGACGTTATTGGATAGCCCTCATTCTCGCTGCCAATTTTAAAGTTGCTGTAAAAGGAGTTTCGAATTTCAGCACATTTAATCATAACTATTTACATACAAATGTACATACAAATATACATCAAGATAATACAAGAATGTTTGGCGTCCCTTTATTCTCAAATATATATTTGTGTACTATACTAAATTTTAGTTAATCCACAGGAAAGGGAATGTCTCCCTTCTCTCACACAGAAAAAGACACAAACACGTCTTAAGCTGAACTTTTTATGATGTAAACATGCTCCTTCTTCTTCTTTTCATTAGGCACATACAACGGGAAATGCATTCTTCAACCTTAATATCTGTTATCGATTAACTTATCGATTTCGATAGATATCGTAGAAATGGTAGGTTGACACGTAGGTTGACAGGATATAAGTAAAAATATATGGCCAGGGCTTAGGCTTAAATATTGTTATATTTTAAGGATGTGTAGTATATATATTTAATTAGTTCAGTTCAGTTTAGTTACAAACAGCATAGCTTAAGTGGAATACGAGTACGTATAGTAAAATTTAACGGCTAAATCCCGATTACTATGCATTCTCTACATGAGTAATACTTATCAGACCATTCAGTTACAGGAACTAACTTCAAGTTAAGCTCATCATCAGGTTAGTTAGTTGCTTAATCAGTTTCAGGTTTATCGGTATACTTTTTTAGTTCAGCATCAGCTAAACAAAAGTTCTATGCATCAGACTTATTATCGCAATTGGGGGCCAAACTTTCGCGACGTTTATTAAAGCACGGGAAGTACAAGCAGCCCTCGTTCATAGCAAAGCGTTCCCCGTCGGCCAGGTTTTCAGGTAGTTTTCTATACAAAAAGCAAAATATAAGATGTTTTGCGCATTTCGGATTAAAAGTGTGTGAGTGAATTACTTGTGTAAGGTTTCTGGAAGCGTCAAACAAAGTCCAGCGCCAAAGAACATAAGACAACTTATGAAAATTGAGGGCAGCGGCTTATAAAACTTGGCCAAGTATATCACATAGAAGGCCAGCGAACTTGAGGCCAGTCCTATGACATGTATATTTGAGACGGCACTCCCTCTCACGCTGGTTGGTATTATTTCGGCGGCATATTGAATCTCAGCATCGTAGGCAACCGTGGACCCGTAGCGGCCCAGTCCGATCATAATAGCCAGCAGAAGAGCATTCTCCTTAGGGTCCATGAAGGCAATTAGAAAGCCGGTAACTGTGGTGATAATGCCTCCCACCAGAAGCGCACCGCAAGCCATTCCCTTTCGGCCGATGATGTTTTGGAGGAGCAGAATTGTGCAGCCTGCAGGCAAATAGTTTATGGATGTGAACGAGAATAGTTTAAATGGAGAGGTTCCAAGGCCTTCCATGTTGCGGTTTATTACATCGTAGGAGAGTGTGATGATGACCCTGTGGGCATAAATATCATTTGATAATTGTCAATTATGATCAATGCAATCGCTTACGATTTAAGCAGCAAGGTCAGGGTGAAGCGTCGCAGACGTGGTGTTCTGAACATTCCCATAAACGTGTCCTCATTGGAATTCAGTTTTCGCTCCTCGTTCATCTTCTCGCGATAGTGCTTGACGAACTCGTCGAACACGGAATCCTCCACCTGTCGCCCATTGAACTTAGCCACCCATTTGAGGCATTTCACGGCCCGATCGTATTTCTTCTTGGTAAGCAGCCACTGGGCGCTCTCGCAGATGAACAGCGGGTAGGCGAGCACTCCGAGGGCGGGCAACGAAGCTAGCCAGAGGTAGTGGCGCCAGTTGCCAATCCAAATGGCCACCCAGGGGGAAGTCATCAATCCGAAGCAATAAAAGAAGGCGAGTATAATGTTGAGACCAAAGGTGCGACGTTTTGGACTGAGGTACTCGAACACTGGAAAGTTGTAATTGTTTGTTAGCATCCACAAGATCACAAAATGTATGCATATTAATAAAGCAAAACTTACCCAATATATACATCAAATAGTACATGGTATCGGTGGAGAGACCCGAGACAAATCTCGAGAATGCAAACCAAGGTAAGGTGTGCACAAACGAGGTCATAAAATCCCCAGAAGCGCCAGCTAAAGTTGCCATCAACATGGTAGGCAGCCGGCCAATGCGATCCGAAAGATATCCAAATGTAATAGTGCCCACCACAGAGCCCACAAAGAAGAAGGATTGGCCCACGGCCGGCTGATGCGATTTGTCACAGACCCACTTCAGTTCTGTTGTTAGGCTTTCGTAGCCGCTTTCTCGTTCGAAAATCCAATCCTGGCAAGTTTCCTCCTCGGCCGCAATGCCCGTTCCATTGATAACGCCGTCGAGTAAAGTGCATGAGGGCTGGGTTATATTCGAATAAATGGAGCGTATCGAGTCTGCACTGAGACCATGAAGGTCATCATGGGAGCACCTGCATCGATCAAGTAAACAGTTTGGAGTTAGCAAAACATTAATAATAGATTTATTTAATTATTGTACTAACCAATGTTCCGGGGTAAACGTAATTAGGGTTTGAGAAAAATAATGCAACGAGCTAAGTATATTCGTATAGCCGTATAATATTAGGATAACAAACTGAAAGCGCCCGAAGCTGCCGCACTTTTCGAGCACACGATCGAAATCCATCTTTAATATATCACCTAGCAGCAATTCGTCTACTTTTTTAAATGAAACACACTTTATACAACAGCTAGAGAGGGCAGATCGAGGACTTGATAGCTCCCCGTTAACAACATGCTCAGTGCCCAACAAAAGTCTAAATGTTGTTGCAGCTGGCTAAGCGCGTCGTATTTTGATGCCCGGGTCTCGAATGGCTGCCTTATATAGAATAGCGGCCGGTAGGTGTCTGCTGAGATTAGGGTGCGAAATTAGTGCCAAAGATTGACTTCAGCTATCTTTGTTGTATTATAATACTTTGAGACTTGCACAAACACAGTATTCGTACGTTTAGACAAAGCGAGTGCCAAAGAGTCGGACGCTGTCCGCTTTTTAATTGCCTACTTTACATAATATAATGCCTCTAAGTCTGGGATCTAATGCCATTCTACCAGTCGAAGAGATGTAACTGTCAAATACTGACTGACGCAGTGATTGTTGCCATGGCGTTGTTGATGCGTTGCCTAAAAAATGTTTTGAGGGGCTTTTTCGAGAAGTGAATATTTCGCCATTTCTCTTATCAGACATTTAACTCGGCCGACCAAGCGGGCAAGGGACTTAGCATTTCTGGCAGTCGCAAAAGAGCTTAGTCTAAGATTTATATCAGAGTTAGTTGCGTCGGATGCTGTAAGTCACGCCTGTACAGTAAACATATCAAAGGAATTACCGCTGACTTAATTTGGCGCCTGACAACTTTATAGCTCGGCTTATACGTGCAGATATATAGTATAGAATACAATTCTATTGACACTGCGATATACTACCAACACGCTGGCTCAAGCTCACGCCCCTTCCTGTCAAACATTTGGCTGGCATGAAAGCACAAGATCCGCAATCATCGACGTGATAAGTATAAATCTTGCTGCTGATCTCAGGCAACGGGTAGAAGCTGACGTTTCCCTTAAGATTATTTAAGATTTATGCATTTATTGTTTTATAATACGTTAATAGCGGCAATGAAGCCATAAAATTTAATTGAAACAACAGGATAATCTCACCCAAAGTAGTACTACTTAACAGGAGCACTTCGCCGTAAGGCACTTAGATTCAATCTTAATGAAACTTCGAGACGAAACGCAGTTGCAGAGTAAATACTATAAATACCATATATACCATAAATTATAAACTTTATTTCAAAACTGTTTGGCTACAATTGTTTTATGAGTATTTTCTATAGACGCAACAGTCATTGTCTGCTCTTCCAGTTTCCTCTTTTGACTGAAGCAGGGAAAGTAATACCATTTTTCGCCTATACCAAAGGTCTCACCATCCGCCAATGTTTGGGGCAGCTTCCTAAAATGAATTGTGTAAATATTTGAATAAAATACTTAGATTAAAGCTAACTTTTTCACTGTTTCCGGCAGCGTCAGACACAAGGCAGAGCCAATAAACATTAGCAAGCTGATAAAAAGTGACGGCAGAGGTTTATAAAAGGTACCCAGAAAAATGATATATGAGCTAAAGAAACCAAATGCATAGCCCACAACGTGTATATTGGACATTCCTCGACCGCGCACACTAGTGGGTATAATTTCGGCGGCATACTGAGCCTCCGCATCGTAAGCTACAACGCCGCCATATCTGCCCAAGCCCACCATCAGGGCCAAGACAATTGAATGTTCCGCTGGGTCCAAGCTGGCTATTAAATATCCGGTCAAGGCCGTAATGACAGCGCCCACAAACAAGGAAACGCAGGCCATGCCCTTGCGACCGATGAAGTTCTGGAACAGTATGATGGTCAGGCCGGCGGGAAGGTACGTAATGCCTGTGTATGAGAAGAGCTTAAACGGCGAGGTGCCCATGCCCTCCATATTGCGGCTGAGTATGTCAAAGGCCACCGTAATGATCATGCTGAAGATAAATGGTTGTAGAATTTTTGGCATGCATTGCCGATCTCGCTAAACTTACGACTTGATGAACAGTATGATGGTAAATTTGCGCAATCGTGGAGTCCTCAGCATGCCCATGAAAGTATCGGTTGTACTTTTCTGCTCCTCGTTCAGTTTTTCATGATAGTACTTAATAAATTCATCAAACACATATTCATCCACCTGTCGTCCATTGAACTTGGCAATGCGGCGCAGACATGCCGCTGCCTTTTCGAACTGGCGCTTGGTCAACAACCACTCGGCGCTCTCGAAGAGCAAGCATGGATAGCAGAGCACGCCCAGTGCCGGCAATGAGGCAGCCCACAGATAGTGGCGCCAAGTGCCCACCCAAATGGCCAGCCAAGGTGAGACCATCAGCCCCACGCAATAGAATACAGCCAGAACGATGTTGAGTCCCAGGGTGCGTCGCTTGGGACTGAGATACTCAAATACTGAAATTATAATTAAGAAGGCTTTAAATATACCTCTTTAAGAAATCAACAGTAGATCAGACCTACCCAATATGTACATCAAAATGTACTGAGTGTCCGTGGATAGGCCCGCTATAAAACGGCCAGCCGAGAAGAATGGCAGCGAGTGCACGAAAGATGTGATGAAATCTCCGAAGGCACCCGTCAAAGTAGTCAGCATACATGCCTTGAGTCGGCCGATGCGATCCGCTAGATAGCCAAAGAATATGGTGCCCAGTACGGAGCCAACGAAGAAGAACGATTGACCCACGGCCAATTTGTAGGCATCATCGCAGACCCATTTTAACTGTGCACAATAGATCGGGATGCGAGTGTAATTGGTGAAACTCGAAAAAGTGTTGCCTACTTCTAGGGCTGACATACCTCTGTTGTAATGCTCTCATAATTGCTTTCGCGCTCAAATTGCCAAGACTGGCACTTGGTTTCCTCGTGTCTTAACAGCTCAGGATTCCACTCAATGTATCTGCATCGTTCAGTGGATGTGATATTTACGAATGCGTAAACGTCGGGTGCATCTGCGGGCAGGCACCTATAAAATAAGAATTATACTTAATTATACTTCGAGAATTGAAAAGTCATTTTAGATTTCACCTGTGTGGCGGTGTAAAGCTGATGATGGTCTGCGAGAAATAATGAAATGACGAAAGTATATTCGTATAGCCATAGAGAGCCAGCAAGACGAACTGATAGCGTCCAAAGCTGCCACATTTGTCTAACACACTCTCGAAGTCCATTGCAACAGAATTCTAGGTAGCTCTCGCGATCGACAACGTCTACATTGCTCGTTGCCTGTCGAGCGTTTGCCAAAAAATTGCTGCAGATATTCCTAAAAGTGTACATATAAGTAAGCGCACATACATACATCAACCGTAAAGCTAGCCACACGAGCATCTATAGCCTGCAATATTTTATAGTATTCAAAGTAGAGTCTATGCAAACAGCAACCCGACAAGCCGTTGCCACTGAATAAAGTCTGGAATGGGTTTCCGTGCCGCAGGTGGGGATTCTTTTTACTTTTATCACTCATATGTAATATGTATATATTGATAAGAAGTTAAGGTGGGCATAATACCCTGAACTCACAAATCACCGGCTAAAAGGGTTATATGAAATACGAAAACTTGGGCACAAGCTCACTTATACAACAATTTACTTAGATCTTCAATGCAAGATGCTATTGAAATTTTGGTTGGTTAGAAAAAATATTACGTATATTGTTAGGTTTATACTAAGTTCCATAAAGGGTACTTCCTAGGCAATCACTTTTGACTAGATCATTTTTACTTATTATCTTTATATATTTTTAAAACGGCCATATTCTGATATGATAAAAGAATGTTTTTTATGACCTTCATGACATATGATAAAAGCCACAAAGAAAATGATGTACAAATGAAAATCTGATAAAAGGCCAGTTTTTCTATAATTTCATTTCTTATGGTTCATTTCAGAGGATTGGATGTACGATTCTTTATAGGTAGCCGCCCCTGGTTGTCTGTGTGCTTTATATGCCTTAAATTCTCGTAGAAGATATCCCTTCATAAGTAGATATATTTGAAAATATTTACTTACCCAAGAAATCACAAAGGACGGAAGAGGCAAACTTTTACATACACATCACTAAAAGAAGAAAAGGTAATGATAACAGGTTAGACTCAGAACTGGAAAAGAACGAAGTATTAAGTGAGGAAGCGGCTATAGAATAATGATTGAGAGCATAGATACAGTTTATTATTTAAAAGTACGATTTTTGTTTGTAATTTCGTAGAAACGGTGTGAGCTCTAATACTGTCAGATCGTTCTTATTGATATATTTACTTTGTATTTTAAGACAAGTCTCCTTCAATTTCTTTCTGATTCACCCAACAGTCTGATTACTGAGTTTAAGGAAACCAATGAACAGATCAGTTAAGACAGTCCTTGTCTGAAGGCCGGCATCTCACCATTATGATTATTGGGACATGCTTTTGGCAAGACTTCGATATATATGGGCAAACACCATGCAACAGAATTCGATTTACAATTATATGTTTCATCAAACGCGGTCATATGCTGTTGCAAAGTGTAATTAGAACTACGCAGACAGCGCGTAAAATATGCAGAAATTGGAAATTAGCAAAAGTTTAGTCCACAACACCAAAAAGCGGCTAGTCGCACAAAGAAGATAAACCGGGTTGAAAAGAAGTCGCGAAAGCGGTTAGTTAAGCAAAAACATGTATTTTAGAGCGGCTTGCCAGCATCTGCTTTGCAGAAAAACAACAAACAGAATTGCACAAAAGCATAAATTCAGAAGTTATAATTTTCAACATACAAGACATGCACTCGCGATAGAGCAACTCTCCCCGGGAAGGCAAACGGATAAATGAAGATGTTTCTTATAAATATAAGTTCTAATAAAAATCAGGCGTAATGCGCAACGCATAAAAAAACACGTCTGTTCACTTCGGAATCGATTGATCTGTTCAGGTTATCAAAGGCAGCGAAATTTGTTCGATTTTACGTATTAATTACAATATTTAATTTCTATGCTCTATTCCCAAATTGAAAAAGAGTATATTGGTTTTGTGCAATGTCCGTCTCGCTGTCCTTTCATTCCTCTATATGAACGGACGCACAGAAAATCTATTCTTCACAAGGCTTAGACAAGGCTACAAAATTAAGCAGCTCGACTACTGAGGACATCTTCTAAAGATCGAGTCAACCTTTCGACTACGTCCAAAGAGTATCATTATTTTCATTTAGCATAGCAAACTAATTAGTCGTACGACCTTAAAAGCTATAGCACTATTAACAGAGTCGATTTAAATACGCTTTTATACTATGTATATTACATAACTTTCTAAACTTCGTAGTCGTCATATTTATCAGCTCAATGTTCAAATGATAAATATCATTTTATTAAGGTAGAGCGTTTGACTGGTATTTTTGGGGCAATCATGAACTGACTATTAAAACATATTTTTATTTTAAGACTTAAAATAATTATTTAAACTTCAAGTTAAAATTTTTGGTGGACACAAATATACGCCCAATAAATTTGGTCTCACCATAAGGACTTAATCTTAAGCAAATTCTATTTTCGATTGTAATTCATTACTTGAACTAATTAGTTAACAACTTTAAGTTAGAGCTTAAAAGTATGCTAACATTTTCTATAAAAAAGAGTTGATATGACCTGCCCTTAAAAATAAAAGGAGGAATCAGTGGAAGCCGAAAGCGACTTGTCACGTGCCGGAGCGAGTTTCATTACCGACTGCGAGCGTTTCTCCATGCAGCTAAATGTGTACCAGTGCTCATTAATGCCGAACTTCTCGCCTTCCTCCAGTGAGGTGGGCAGCGTGCGATGCAGCGTCTCCGGCAGCAGCAGGCACAAGCAGGCGCCCAGCAAAGAGAGCACGCCCAGAATGATCTCCGGCAGCGGCGAGAAGACTGTACGGGTGTATAAAATGTATGCACTGAAGAATGTGAACGCATAGCCCATGACATGCACGGCAGCCACTCCCTGGCCACGCACACATGTTGGTATCAGCTCCGTGGCGTACTGGGCGGCCGAGTTGTAGGCCACGGTGACACCAAAGCGCCCAATCACGGAGAGCGTTACCACTATTGTCGTGTCTGTGGGGGAGTATACGAAAAGATGTTTTAAATAAATAAAATTACAATTGTAACAGCTTTCAAGAAACTGCAAGCTCAAAACTCACTAGCAGAAACCAGATATGTTCATTGTATTTTTGACATCTGAATAAAGTACTCTTATTTTAAATATTGTCTACTAATTCTTTTAAGTAGTAACCTCATTACATGTATTATTCGAATTGATAACACAATTTCACAAGTGCAAGTCTGAACTAAAATTGTAAATATATTTATGGAACAATCCTCTTTAAATAATAGACTTTTGATTTATACAAGATAGACTTGGGTATTTATGAAATATTAAAGGCATTTATTTTCCAAACAAAAATAAGCTTTTTACCTTTTGTGGAAAACGGGCGGAGGTATCCAAACGAGAGGCTACATATTATTAAAACACAAAATGTGAGTCACAATTTGTAATCAATATAATGAAAATGGCCCGAAATGCGCTCTCTATCCAATTTGAATAGGTTCAGGGTATAACAAGGTCGAAAGAGTAAGCAATCGAATTTCCTTGTGATATACGTTGGAAATATAATTTTGTATAAAAACTTGAGCTAATACCAGAACAGATAAAAACAAGCTTAATACAATTAAATTAAATACTCTTTCTACAAAATTTGCATACATAACTGTACAAATAAATAAGTAAATGATGAGATAAATTTGACTTACTGTGATTACTGGCGGTATAGAGTACGATGCCCGTTACCGAGATGAAAACGCCACTGAGGAGCAGCGATGAGGAAGCCATCGCCTTGCGCCCGATGCGATCTTGCAGAGCAATGAGTATCAGGCAAGCAGGCAGAATCGTGGTTGCGCTCAGTGAGAACATGATAAATGGCGAAATGCCAAGGCCTTGCACATTTCGTGAGACGGCATCGTAGCAGAGGGTAATGACCATGCTGTGTGGGCGAGCGGATGAGGGCATAGACACAGATCGTAGCGAATGTAAAAGTGAGCCACTTGACTGGGGCAGCTGTCTACTCACGATTTGAAGAACAGTATGAAAGTGTTGCGGCGCAGGCGGGTCGTCTTGAAGAGGTCTAGTAGATTCGGCGTAGTCTTCGTATTTTGCTGACTTAATTTGCAGTCCGCAATGAACTGCGCATAGACGCTATCGTCAAGTTGCCGGCCATTGATCTTGGCCACGCGCTTCAGGCAGGCCATAGCCTTGTCGTACTTCTGCTTTGATATCAGCCACTGCACGCTCTCCGGCACAATGAAATAGAACAGCGGCACCAATGCGAACGGCAGCGAGGTAACAAGCAGGAAACCACGCCAGCTACCCATGAGCACTGCCACCCAGGGCGCGCCCATTGAGCCCAAACAGTAAAAGACGCCGATGCAGACACTCAGGCCAATGGTGCGTAATGAGGGCCGCATATATTCCATAACTGCGGAATGTTGATTGATTAAAATAAATATATGCTAAGACTAACATTCTTTTGCTCACCCAGAATGTACATCATCAAAAAGTTGCTGTCAGTCGCGAAGCCGGCAATGAGTCGAAATATACAAAATAGAGGCAGACTCGTGCCAAACATGGTCAATAAGTTGCCCGTCATGGCAATAAGATTCGCCAAAATAAGTATGGGCAACCGACCAACTATATCTGCCAGATATCCCAGCACAAGAGTGCCTACCACGGAGCCTACAAAGAACATGGACTGGCCCAAGGTTAGTTTCCATGCCTCACCGCATATCCAGTTCATTTCGCTGGTGAAACTCTGGTAGCCCATGTATGTCTCATAGTTATAGCTATGGCAGGTCTCATGCCCTGTTGCATTCGTATTCAGTGGCTGGCAGCTGGATACATCGGGAGCTTCTGTTTCCAAGTCCAGGCCATCGGCGCACCTGGGCGTATGATTTATATACGTTGAGTATACGACATGTTATTCATATGTTATTTATACATACCAGTACTTGGGCACAAAACTTATGATCGTCTGCGAATAGTAGTGCATGGCCGAGAGCAAATTGATTACACTAAAAAGTAGCAGCATAAACACCTGCAGTCGACTGAAGTCGCCGCATTTTTCCAACATTTTGTCCACTTCCAGCATTGTGATATTTTTGTTTCTAACTCCAGCTGCATTCACATTTACCAGCCGCCGCGGTAGGACTTTTCCGAATTTAACCCTCGTTAGCCTATGGCCTCAGTATATTGCTGCACTTGTGGCGCTTGCATCGCATCTCATTTCATTTAATTGGCCTTTTTCGCGTTGAGCGGAATTCGTTTAATTACTAAAGTCAATTAGCGCTTTGAATTCCCGGAACGTCTAAGCTTCATGAAAAACAAAAATATATAATTTAGGTTTGACAGATTTCAAGGCGAACCTAATGTTTGTTAGATCAAATTTAAAAAGTCAAGATGATTATGTTTCAGCTGAAGAACGTTGTAGTTTGTTATAAATACTTTTAATTAATGTCATTGCTGGCGATTCATTAATGTTGCCTAGGGACAAGTGTGGAGTGATAATATATAACTGATATATATTAGATATTCTCCGGCAATCTTCTTAGGAACACTGATTAATGCTGAGATTCTTAAGTTATCAAATTTAGTAAGAAAACTTTATTCGATAGTACCCTGTTTCCAGTTCTGGTGTACAATAATCATTTGCTTAGAGTATATGTAGTTAGTTTCGAGAAAATAACCGCACGCCAAATTTGGCATCTCCAGCCCTATTAGTGCCAGAGATCGATTGCTCGATAAATTCGCATATTAATGATAGTCACGTATATACACTTTATATTTTATAGATTCAGAGATGTCTCCTCCTCTGTTACATACACAAAATATATGGTACTTGCTTTTTATTGTTAGGGCATAAAATTTAACTACGTTAACGCTGCAAATTACGTTAACAGTCAATTATATAAGTCAATAATTTGATCAATCATTCATTACTCTAATGATAAGTTCGAATATTTGGGATCGAGTTGAAAACAATCAGTGAACACTTGATAACCTATGACTTATACGCTTAAAGTTAGAGCGAGGCAATCTTTGTCTCATAAAGTTCTGGCTGGAGTCCTTCATCAAAGCGTTCTTGGACCTTTCCTCTTCTGCATAAGCTCTACAATTTATGTCATTAGGAACTAGCGGCTGCTTTATTTTATCCTAAATAAATTTTTTCAATTATGAGTTCGAATACTTTAATATTGCTTCTTAGGTTTTGACTACTTTATTATTGCATCTGACGCTATATTGTACGGCTCTTGGGACGATTTGTTAATAATTCTGTTATATGAAAATATGTTGTATTCTCTGTTTGGAGAGTAAAAATGTTCATTCTTGTTACATCCAGAGCAAGGTGACGCCAATCTCAAACACTATAAGAGCTGGAGACCTGAAATAGCGAAAGTAGGTCCGCCTACGAGCAAATAAAATTTAATTTAATGATCGCAGTTAGTCAGTTTTACAAACTCGGTAAGTATTAAAATTAGTTTTTGTTGTTTAACCGCATCTCGGAGTTTTAGATGAATGTAGACTCTTATATACACAGAATAAGATTATTTACAAAATTGTAAAAAATTCAATTTTGAACTTAGGATCTTGCGCTTGGAAACAGACACATATTTGGGATTATGGAAGAATCAGCACAGCCACGTAAACTGCACACTTTGTGTGTGTATGTGTAAAAGGTAGATGGAATTTAGACGCCAGTTCGACGTTATGCGCCAGGTATCTCCTAGTCTGGTATTCCCGACTGGATCACTCTTGTTATTAATTTATATTTTCATGTTTAGGCTGCACGTTAAGTTTACGAGTTTTTCCATCAATTTACATTATATTTTATCAGCAGAACTTATTGATGCTTTTCGTTTGAATTCAGATTTTCGGAGCACATCAACACTTTAGTTACTGAAATGTAGTTTTCAGCTCTTGTATGCGATTTTTGGTGTTTGAATGATCACAAAACTGAGTTACACTAAAATTATGACTGCGATGACTTATCGAATCTGCTTACGAATACGAAATGATTGCGTTGACTGTTTGTGCGAATAACGAGCTGACGATAAGAAACAGCTTTTTCCGAACGATCCTAAAACAGCTGAGGCCCGGCTGAATTGATCCCGCGCTTGGGGCAGCCGCCAACAGCTGCTACTGTGATAATCGTATATAATTCGACTAGAATACTTAAAACGTGAACCGTAGATGACCGAAGTCAAGTTTGAAATGTCGCCTGCCCGGGCCCGTGCATTGCTACTGCCAGCCGAAATCAGCTGCAATTTGTATATGTAGGTATATACGCAGGGAGGTTGTGATTTTGGAAGATAAATATAGATTTTGCGCGATGCGATTTCCGACTTGAAATGCTTTTGCATGCGATGCGATTCGCTTACAGTTATTATATCGCGCTTGGCCTGCGGGACGTAGCTGTGGGTATTTGTGCGTGCGTGTAGCTCGGTGTCGACTCGACAATTCAATGCTTTCCACCCACTGACTTGCATACCGTGTATCCAAATGTGTAAGAATGGGTATATTGGTTTTCTGCAAATGTATGTAACTGACACGTCCGAGGCCATAAATACTATATAAAGCCAATCAGGACGACATCTGGCCATGACCTTCTGTCTTTCCATCTTTGTGAATTTAGGGGGTATTCACACTTTTGGCAAATCCATCCCTTCTTGGTGAAAATGGGGTACATCGTTATGCTTAGAGGACTGTGGATAGCTGTGAAGATAAACTCAACTAATCAAAGCTGTCCGTAGCTTCATCCGCGGATTACTATTATAATAATAAATATTTATGAAATATTGAAAACACTTTTGAACTTAAATCAGTTACTACTTATGTTATTTCAAGTGGAAACTTTTAAAACCAAAACATGTTTATTGATTTGGGTAGGCATTAGGGTACATTTTGGATTAGGTGCCATACAGAAACTTTGTTTTATTATTGGTCAATTTTTAAATTTGCCTTGGCTCCGGGTTATAAAATATTGCTTAAAGTAATATACTTGCAAAGACATATTCTACAAATATATTGTCATTGCTCTCGTGTTATTATAAATAATAATATGCATGTTGAAACAAGTGCAATTCATAAATAAGATGTGCGTCAATACCGGATTATTGTATGCGTCTCAATTATTTTTGGCTGTTCTATATAATTTTCACAATCATTCGACTTTCCATGAGTAGGTGAAATATGACTGAATTTAGGATAAGATACGTTTGCAATTAATTAATAAATGTGATTTCTGCATAAGCCGATAAAGCTTAAATATTGGGTAAGGCGTAATGTTGTGGACCGCCCAAAAACTATAAATTATTAAGGTTTTTTACAACATATTAGTCAAATCGGTCAACGACACAACATAGATCTTTTGAAGTTCTTTAAATATTGACAATATGATGCCACACTTAACAGAGGGGAATATAGAGATAATTATATTTGTAGAGAATTTAGCTAAGATAAATATAAGAATTGTTTACAGTAATGCGGAAGCCATTGCTCAATATTTACTTTCCGACTTGTCGTTATAATACAAATATGTAAAATAATACTCTTAAAGAGTACAAATATATAAATACAGGCGGGTATGTGCTATTATTTATTGTTTTGTGATGCATAAGTTAACATAAGTTAATCTTCCGTCCACATACTTTGGCCTCATTATCACGCAGGAGGATCGGATTATTCAAAACATATCACAGTTAAAATCTACTGAAATAGGTATCAAAAATGTTTCATAGAAGTTTTCCCTCAGTTTTCCATGTTTGCGGGTAGATTTATCAAAGCCACGTCCTGGCATGCACTTTCATCACAAAAGCTTACAACTATACAAAGTTTCGTTTCCTAGATAAGTTGGATGTATATACACAGACATATAAGTTATGGCAGCTTTTCAACTTTTCAGATTTGAATCGTTATTTTTTATAATTTAAAGGAGTTTTACCGTTTCAGTCGATCTACGTCAGGAGTCTCTTATTTAGCTCGATAGTTTGCCTTAAATGGGGCTTGAGTTGTCGAGAAGATTGAATGTTGATGTTAGTGGGTGGGGTCAGGTAGGTTAGGTAACGGTAATAAGGCAATAAACTTGATAAAGAAACAGAGGTTGATTTTAGTGGGAGGTCTTAAGAAACAGTAATAAAGCAGTTTTGTATATAAGATTTGGAATATAATTTGACGTGATATAATATATGATAATATCCTGAGGAAGGTCGTTAATATTTAAAACAAATATTAAAGCTTATCAGTTTCTCCTTAGTATTTGTCAATTAAAAGATTTATGCAAATTACAAGTCGTCTTTCAGCACACAATGCATACACAGTATGTATGTACCCCGCACGTTGCAAAACAAATTTCAAATTTGAAATTATTATTTCTTAGTCCACCAAATTTAACTACTTATTTTAAATGCAAACTTAGAAGCTTTAAACTGTAATTGCCGAACTTGTTCCACATTTGCGAAACCATGGAAAGTAAAGGCTAGGCTGCTTCTTAACAAAACTTTCCGCTTCGGCGAGATTTTCCGGCAGCTTTCTAAAAGTTGGAAATTATTTAACAGAGAATTATGCCATAATTTACGACAATTCAAGCTACAAACATACTGGTTCAAAGTTTCCGGAAGTGTAAGACACAAGCCAGCGCCAAGGAACATTAAGCAGCTTATGAAGATGGATGGCAATGGCTTATAGAACTTGGCCAAGTAGATCACATAGAACACCAGCGAGTTGGAGGCCAAGCCTACGACATGTATATTGGAGAGGGCACGCCCTCTCACGCTGGTTGGTATTATCTCGGCGGCATATTGGATCTCAGCATCATAGGACACCGTGACGCCATAGCGGCCCAAGCCAATCATAATGGCGAGCAGGAGAGCATTTTCCTTTGGGTCCAGGAAGGCAATTAGAAAGCCGGTAACTGTGGTGATAATGCCCCCCACCATCAACGCACCACAGGCCATGCCCTTCCGGCCGATATTGTTCTGGAGCAGGAGAATAGTACAGCCGGCTGGTAAATAGTTAATTGACGTGTAAGAGAATAGTTTAAATGGGGAGGTTCCAAGGCCTTCCATGTTGCGGTTTATTACATCGTAGGAGAGTGTGATTATGACACTGTACGGAATAAAAAATTGCCATAATCAGATATTGCGAATTATTGGCATTAGCTCACGATTTGAATAGCAAGGAGAGTGTGCAGCGTCGGAGATGCGGTGTTCTGAACATTCCCATGAATGTGTCCTCATAGGTTGTCAGTTTCTGATGCTCGGTAATCTTTTCGCTGTAGTGCTTGACGAATTCGTAGAATACAGAGTCCTCCACCTGTCGCCCATTGAACTTAGCCACCCATTTGAGGCATTTCACGGCCCGATCGTATTTCTTCTTGGTAAGCAGCCACTGGGCGCTCTCGCAGATGAACAGCGGGTAGGCGAGCACCCCGAGGGCGGGCAACGAAGCTAGCCAGAGGTAGTGGCGCCAGTTGCCAATCCAAATGGCCACCCAGGGGGAAGTCATCAATCCGAAGCAATAAAAGAAGGCGAGTATAATGTTGAGACCAAAGGTGCGACGTTTGGGACTCAGGTACTCGAACACTACAAAGTCGTTATTGTTTTTATATTATATCTACGTTACTGAAGCAAAACTCACCTAAAATATACATCAAATAGTACATGGTATCGGTGGAGAGTCCGGAAACAAAACGTGAAAACGCAAATAATGGAAAACTATAAACAAACGAGGTGAGGAAATCTCCTGATGCTCCTGCTATTGTGGCCAGCAGCAATGCTGGCAAACGTCCAATGCGGTCTGAGAGGTTTCCAAATATCACGGTGCCCACAACTGAGCCAATGAAGAAGAACGATTGGCCGACAGCCGAGTGATGCGATTTGTCGCAAACCCACTTGAGCTGCAATTGGTGCAAATCGATGAAGTTGTTGTTTACATCGCATTCGAATACACAATTACCTCAGTTGTGACACTTTCGTAGCCTTGTTCACGCTTAAATATCCAATCCTGGCACTGACCAGTCTCAGCTGCAACAGCCGTTCCATTGACCACTCCCTCCAATAATGTGCAAGATTTATTGGTCATATTTGCGTATATCGAGCGAACTTCTGACATATTCAAATGCTGGAGGTCGTCATGGTAACACCTAGGCATATTTAAATAATGAATACGATCCGCGAAGTCGCTATTTCTTACCTTCTTACCAATGCTCTGGAGTAAATGTTATAAGAGTTTGTGAAAAGTAGTGCAGGGAGCTGAGTATATTCGTATAGCCGTACAACAGTAAGATCACGTGTTGGAATCGCCCAAAGTCACCGCATTTTTCGAGCACAGTGGAGAAGTCCATGTTGGCACCGCTTGGACATCTACTCACAAATTGCAATTGAGGACTAACTAAAAGCGCTGAGATCTGCCGTTTAAACACTAAATCAGTGCAGCAATGCCATAATGAAAGCGTTAATAATGACACATGTTTTACTAAAGAAAACAGCTGACCCACTTTGATAACTGGGACTGCTGCCCACCGTCAACTGCTTTCGTATCCGCCGCCTTATTAACAGAAAATGCACTCAGTCAGTTGTTCAATTTATCCTAGGCCATCAATAAACACATTTTAATACATTTACGAGTCAACATCAAATTGGTAATTAAAAAATGTAAAGAACCTCAAGTATCAGTATTTGTTGGTGTCGGTTAGTACCTATCACTATTCATTCCGCCAGCCAATCCACATCGACAGCTTTCTGTGCGTTACCGAATATTAAAAACTCTTTCAATAATTTAATTAAAATGCGGCAGTCTAGCTGATCCAGTCAGAGCTACTTTTTTTTTGCAGACAAGAGGGAAAAGGTATCAAAAAAATTAGATATTGATTATTCTAATTTTTGTGATCTTACCTCATGGGTGTATTATTCCTAAAACCTTGATATTTATCGATCTTGGGAGAGCCTAGAAATTAAAAAAAAAAAAGGAAAATAAATTATCGATATCAAGTTGATTTGCGTATGAAAAATTTGGCCACGTTCATGCGCATAGATGGACAGACAAACAGAAAAGGTTAGATCGATTCGACTGTTGATGCTGACCATGAAAATCATAAATCTTACTAAAAAATATATGGTACAACATATCTTAAGTTAAGAAACCTTTGCAGTCGTTTCTGTCTATTCGAAATGATTATCAATTTAATAGCTTCTTAAACAGATCAATGAAGGAACCAAACTTTTCTATATCTATAGTCTAATCTATGTTTTGTGTTGAAAATATATTTGGCACAGAATATCGATTGCTAAAAAAATATCAATTTAAATTATTTGCTTAATACTTTAAGTTTTCTATAAGGCCAAGTTATCTAATATAAGCCTGTGGATCTGTGATCTGTCGTCTCATCGACTTCTACTCAGCTGATTTCGCAGAATATGTAAGCGGCTTTATAGGCTATGCTTAAAAAAAAGTAATCTACAATTGGACATTGTTTTGATCAATTGTTTTGATCTTCAAGCTGCAAATGTTGTATTGAATAACGGCAACTTGCACGATTTATTGCTATATCTGCCACAATGGCTGGAGCTGTCAATACCTTTGGATATCCGTGGACTGCAACAAATTTGCGACAATAAATTAAGAGTACTAAGTGAACATGAAACAAATGACATTATTCGTTCTGGCATGAAGCTTAAAGGATTGGGTACGGGCAATCGGGTAAGCGGGGAACTGGGGACTGGTTATGCATGAACGTGGCTGTGTCAGGGCGCAAATGTGCCGTTGCTTAAGCGGTGGGCAAGTTGACCTTTCGCTTTATTCGGCGGCTGCTGGAGTCAGACATTTGGTTTGTTGTAATTTAATTGTCGACTGTCTGACCTTTTGTGCATGCGCGACGTTGTCGCTGCTGTTGCTGCTGCAGTTGTTGTTGTTGTTGTTGTTGTTGTTTTTGTTGTGGTTGTTGCTGCCGACTGCCATTTCATTGGATTTGGCGTTTGCCGTTTGAATTTTTCTCATAGCTGCAACTAATTACGCGCCTTTAAGCTTGGCCAAAGTCCTAGCCGATAATAAATTAACATTTCAATTGTGTGTGCAGCAAAATACCTTTTCACACAATTGGCTAAATCGCAAACGAATCACAAACATGGCACACAAAAGTGAAAGGGCAAACAACGAACGGGTCTCCCCGGATCCCTTTAAATGGTTTGGCGGAAGAATAACCTTTCTAAGACTGCAACGGCTGCGATGGCAGCGCCAAAGTTGAACCCAGGCACACGATTCGATTCAGTGCCAGGTGGCTGCCCAGTCTTGCTATTATATATACTAACTTGTTGTTGTTGTTGCTGCTGTTGCTGCCGATGTTGTTTAGTGCGCGCCATGTGGCATGATCAGTCTGGGGCTCTTAACTGGTCTCTCAGTGTTGATCTTCAATTAGTTTATTGTTCGCTTGGTCTTTTGCGCCATGTGAAGCAGGCGACATTTGCCGCCAGTTTACTATAAATTGCCAGAACGCCATCGAAGCGTTTGCAGTTGTTGTTTCTTCTTCTAGTGTGCTCGTCGTTGTGCTCCAAGCCTTAAGAGTCGGTTGGCCACATTCCAAGTGGTGTTCGGTGTTTGGGCTAATAAAAGGATCGACAAGTGGAGAGACGCGCAAGGACATCTAAGCAGTCCAATGCTGAAGGTGTGCCAAATGAATGTGTTAACGATAGCTATACTTGACCAGAATGCATCCACTCGACGGAAATACTGCTTCAATTATTAAACTCGTGATAGTCCATAAACTCCAAACTAACAGAAAGCTATATGAGTGATATTTGAATGCCAGTTGTATTGACAATCGTCTGATCATCTTTCTTGCAGATATTTCTGCTAAGCGCTGCGCTGGGCATTGCCTATGCAGGCGTTATTGGACCCGGGCCCTACTATGGTGGTCCGGCTGGACCCTTGCACGCCTATGCAAGTTATGGGCCACATCATGGACCACCGCAATATTTGGCACCTGGTGAGTAGATTGAGACATTGAAGAAATTTAAAATTAAATGTAAAAATTATTTCGTGTATAGCTCCAGGACCCAAGCCAGCACCGGAACCGTATGATGCTGATCCCAAGTACTCCTTTGGCTATGACATACAGGACGGTTACACCGGAGACCTGAAGAGCCAGCATGAAACACGCCATGGTGATGTGGTCAAGGGCAGCTATTCGGTTGTGGATCCGGATGGCACCAAGCGCACCGTGGACTACACAGCTGATCCCCATCATGGCTTTAATGCAGTTGTGCGTAAGGAGCCGCTAGCCTACAAGCCGCTGCCTGGGCCAGCACCTGCACCGCATGCTCCCGTTGCAGGACCGGCGCCAGCACCTCCGTTGCCGCCAGTGCCCAAGCCCTCGCTACCATTGCTCTCCTATCCATATGCCTTGAGCGCTTTACATCATGGAGGACCTGCACCCGCTCCAGCACCAGCACCTGCTCCAGCTCCCGCACCAGTACCCGTGGCGCCCGCACACCTGCCCACCGTCCACTTCCAAGCAGCCTATCCAGCACTTGCCCATTCTCCGTACGCACACTATCCCGCCGCTCTGCCCGCACCTGCAGCTGACCCACATGCCTACTATCACCACTGAGTTCGACAAGCATTTGGCAACTAGAAGTCGATCTAGCACTCTAGCTTCCCCAGTTCTTTGCTTTGATTTGACTGCTTAATTATATTCCTAACATCTATTTCTTTGACTTTGTGCTTTTCTCCATCTCTTCTTTACTCCATAAACGGTCTACTCTATCCATTGTTGTGTTCGTCGTTGGATGTTGGTTTTACGTACATACATACAAACATATATTTTGTTCGCAATACGCGAACTTATCTCATAAGTTTAACTTAATATATAGGTTCATATACTATGTTGGGTATGCGATGTTATATTTCAAGTAGAAGCTTAAGTTCGCGGCTAAGGTATTTGAACTTGAAATAAAAATAAAAATGTAAATCGGCATATCAGTATTTGGTGAGTTGGGGATCAAATTTTAGACGCTGGACAACGATTGCGATGCCTGCTTATTGAAATTCAAAATAATTTCTTATAAAAACTTTTTTCAAATACATTTTTATTTACTTCTATAAAGTAACCTGTTTGTTTTGACTGAATGACTGATTGTTGGCCAACGCACATATCCGGTCAGAGCTAGGACGTTGAATTTGTAACTTAATATGATGAAGGTGATTGCTAAGTCGGTCTTCAATATATCGACTTACTCTTAATTTTAAACAAGTAAGAGGTTCTAGTCGGGAGCTTCCGACTAGGGGATACCCTGAACCCACTTCTTCAAACATCAAATGCATATATATATTCTATTTTAGAAGCTATGTGTCAAGTTTGGTGACTCTAGCTCTTATTATTTACCAAAATTGCCCAAAAACAGGATATCGATATCGATTTTTATCGATTGCTTGGAAACAGAGTAAGTTATCGATTATCGGAAACAAACTCGATCTGTGCAGGCACTAGGAGCACCTACATCTAAAATTTCAGTCTCTAGCTCTTATAGGTTCTGAGATCCTTGCGTTCATACATACGGAGAGACGGACAGACAGACGGACATTGCTAGATCGACTCGGCTATTGATGCTGATCAAGAATATATATACTTTATGGGGTCGGAGATGCTTCCTTTTGCCTGTTACACACATTTGGATTTTGCACAAATACAATATACCCTTGTACCCATTTTTAATCAGGGTATAAAAATCAGTGGGAAAATTCATATAAGACATTTTTCACAATTTTCGCAAGTCACTCCCTTTGGATATGATCGAAAATATAATTTTGGAGTTCAAGTTTCACAGCACGAGACTATAATGAAAGGAAAATATAGTTTTCAGCTTCGAGATCTTAATTCGATGAACTTTGAACTTATTTAAAATGCAACTATGACATGCAGTTAATGTGAACTCATAAGTAGATATAAATTGGAAATGGCTACAAAAATCTGAAGCAAGATTCTTGGATTGGTCAGGCCGGAAAATACCAGCTGGTAGTAAATCAAACATTCATAAGAACTGAATGTTTTCCTAATTTTTTTTTTTTTAATTTTGTTTTTATTGTATCAACTTTTGTAATGTTCATATTTGTTTGTATTGTATGACATAGTATAATTATTCCATTATGTATAAATATATGTGTGTGTTTTGTATATAAACAGTTAAGTATTATTTGTTGATATTATTTTTTAGTATTTTTGCATGTTTGCACATGTATATGTATGTATGTATGTATATGGATGCATTATATATAAGTGTGTATATATAATTTCTACCATTTGTAGAACAGATTGAAATGTTTAAGATCGCATCATAGATTTCATCTGCTTCAAGTTACAAATAAAGTTCACATATATATATATATATATTTTCTTGCATTGGTCTTACTGCATCAAATCAGATATACAATTTAATAAGATTATAGTCCTTAGTTTTGTAGTAAACGGTATCAAAAGATAGGTACAATTGAATTGCCCGTGCTCATGCACAAGCTACCACTAAAATAATTTTGGAGCTTAGTGAAGCCCTTTGTCTACCTTCGATTCTACGTAGTAGAGAAACAAATAGGCGAGAACTTCAATTCAAATTTCATTCGCGAATTGCAATACCAATAATAAGCCGTTTCTCTAGTGGAGTGGTAAGCATTAAACTAAGGGTTTAGCATATAGGGAGTGAGTGCTCTGATGCTTTACAATTGGACACAATTTCTCTAAGTGAACTTAGAATTAGGTAGTTATTAATAAGCTTCATAAGTATGTATGTGACATTGAGTTGCGCTAAAATATTTCGATTATATATTGTACATACGTATGAATATTTACCAAATAAAGAGCCTAATATAGCACGTAGTATATTTTGTATAATTTTCGTTGATTGTTTGGCT